AGACCCGAGTTTGTAGCAAAGATGTCAGACAAGATATGAATGTTTTTTTTGGCTCAAATGAAAGAGCGGCTCGAAAAATGGCTTGCAAGGACCTCTAAAGATGGTTTTGAACCAGGGGAGACTCCTAGACCCCAATGTTCTATACATACTCCTAGACCCCATTGTCCTCCTAGACAATGATGTCACAACTCTGCTTTTCAATTGAAAACAGACATCATCTTTAGAGACATTTGTCATGTTTAGAGGCTCTAGCACGTCATTTCTCGACCCGCTCTTTCATTTGAGCCCAAAAAAACATTCATATCTTGTCTGACATCGCTGCTACAAACTCGGGTCTACAACTCGGGCCTTCAATTGAAAGCCCGAGTTGAAGACCCGAGTTTGTAGCAAAGATGTCAGACAAGATATGAATGTTTTTTTGGGCTCAAACGAAAGAGCGGGTCGAGAAATGGCGTGCTAGGACCTCTAAAGATGGTTTTGAACCAGGGGAGACTCCTAGACCCCAATGTTCTATACATACTCCTAGACCCCATTGTCCTCCTAGACAATGATGTCACAACTCTGCTTTTCAATTGAAAACAGATATCATCTTTAGAGACATTTGTCATGTTTAGAGGCTCTAGCACGTCATTTCTCGACCCGCTCTTTCATTTGAGCCCAAAAAAACATTCATATCTTGTCTGACATCGCTGCTACAAACTCGGGTCTACAACTCGGGCCTTCAATTGAAAGCCCGAGTTGAAGACCCGAGTTTGTAGCAAAGATGTCAGACAAGATATGAATGTTTTTTTGGGCTCAAACGAAAGAGCGGGTCGAGAAATGGCGTGCTAGGACCTCTAAAGATGGTTTTGAACCAGGGGAGACTCCTAGACCCCAATGTTCTATACATACTCCTAGACCCCATTGTCCTCCTAGACAATGATGTCACAACTCTGCTTTTCAATTGAAAACAGATATCATCTTTAGAGACATTTGTCATGTTTAGAGGCTCTAGCACGTCATTTCTCGAGCCGCTCTTTCATTTGAGCCCAAAAAAACATTCATATCTTGTCTGACATCTCTGCTACAAACTCGGGTCTTCAACTCGGGCCTTCAATTGAAGGCCCGAGTTGTAGACCCGAGTTTGTACCCGCTCTTTCATTTGAGCCAAAAAAAAACATTCATATCTTGTCTGACATCCCTGCTACAAATTCTGGTCATCAACTCTGGTTGTCAGTTGAAATTGGAATTGTTAATTGACACAATCATAGGAGTGCATTGACGATTTTTTCTTAACTCGCAAAAATCTTCAAACATTTGCTACCGATTGGTGATAAAATTTTTTGGAAATAATGAAATAGGGGGGATAACGCTTTTTTTTCAGGGGTGATTTTTCAAAAATTTATTTTAAAAAAGTACTAACTAGCAAATGTTTTTTATTAGCTCGAAATTTTCTTCAAAACTACTTCAATGAGGAAAAAAATAAAAATTTGGAATATCTATACATTACCCACAAACTCTGGGCGGAATTACCCACAAACGCGGAGGCTGATAAAATAGCCAATAATAACTGATGAAGATATTTTTCTGTTATCAAAAAGATCCCAATGGATGTGGAAAGGTATAATGAACATATATTTCGCACTCCATTCAATTATGGGCCAACTGAAAATTGGAAAAATCTTAAATTCGGGGGTCGAAATATTTTAAGAATTCGGTAGGAAATGATTTGGATTTTTTTAACGATGTTTTCGCGGGAGAAAATTGAAAATTTCTGTTGAAATTACTTGTTGTTATCAAATATTTGCATAACAAAAAAAATAGATTTTGTACTTGTCCGAAAAGATGAGAGATAATTTATTAAAAAAAGCGAGTTCTCGAAATAAGTCAAAAGGTCTTTGCGTTTAAATGTTTTTGATTGGAGACTTGAAAATTATTGAATAAATTGATTCAACTAGACTTGGTCCAAGAAATCTCTTTCTTGTCATAAACAAATTATCCTCGTATTTGGGACAAGTACAAGATGTCTTGATGGATGTTTTTTCTTTCTCCGTGTAAGTTATTTTCTTCTCGCTAATTTTTGAACCATGCGTTTCTTGATACAGGTGAAAACGTACTTATCAAAAACTTTTTTTTTCAATGTATTTCACTTTTATGTGACAACTGAGAGTTCCACTGAAATTTCAAAGAATTTAGTCAATGAAAATTGCTAATTCGATGAAAAAATCAATGGAAATTGTCAGTTCTATTTCAATTATTTCATGGAAACTAATATAAATTAGGTAAACATATTCTTGAATTTTCAGGGTAACCTGAAATTTTATGAGCTTTTCACCCTAAATTGCAAAATCTCTGTTCATGAAATTTTACTTTTTCTTTTAACCACACTCTATTGACTGATTTTTGTCACTTCCTTTCTCAAATAAATTGTCATTACATCAATCAAACAATGAATCCACCTCCACAGGGCAATTTCGAGTTGAAACATTAATCATCTCTCCTAACTGCCTCGAGTTCTTCATTTAATTAGAGAAAATTATCGAAAAGATTCTCCATCATTTAAATTGGACGAAGACCAGACACGGTCGGCTGCCAGTGCAATTACACTGGCAATAGCCCATAAGTGTCTTCATTGTCTCATCCCATACAATATCCCCCTCGACCCTCAATCAATATCTCGACCATCGCTGGATCCAAGCTATCGAGGAGGTCGCTATTAAGGGACAATAATGAGTGACCGGAAGATTCCCCGGTTCTTATCTGTAAATGAACCCCCAGCCAATTCTGCACATCTGGGGTGCGCCTGGGACCCGCATCCGGTTTTGGTTTTCTCGGGGATCACGATTCTATCTTGAGTATCGATTGTTCGTTGGTTGTAAAGATCAATGGAGCGTGGAATTTTTTTAAGGGGAGACTACTATGAGTTTTAAAAGTCGTGGGTTATTGGAGTGAGACTTTTCATACGTTGAAGATCGATTATATAGATCTGAAAATGAATAATTAGTGCAAAAAAAAAATTTTTTTATTGTTCGTTTACGAGAAAACGCTTAAAATGCCAAAAACAGTTCAGGGCCTCCAATTTTTGAGCTACGAAGGATTTTTTTTTGGAATAACAATTACGAGCAATTTTTTTTTATTCGCCTCTTACATGGCTAAATTTGCTTTTTTTGTATTTTTTTTACACAAATAGTGAATTTTTTTATACGAAAAAAACGAAATCAGCTGTGTAGGAGTTGAATTCCAAAAAACTGGCTCGTTATTGTTGTTCCACACCTTTTGCCGAAAATTTTGAAAAAAAAAATCTTTTGTAGCTCAATTTTTTTTATAGTTCGTTTCCCCGAAAACGCTTAAAATGCTAAAAACAGTCCAGGGCCTCCAATTTTTGAGCTACAAAAGATTTTTTTGTCAAAATTTTCAGAAAATTGTGTGGATCAACAATTACGGGCCAGTTTTTTGGAATTCGACTCCTACACAGCTGATTTCGTTTTCTTTTCATATAAAAAAATTCACTATTTGTGAAAAAAAAATACAAAAAAGCAAATTTAGCCATATAAGGGGTGGATTAAAAAAAAATAGCTGGTAATTGTTATTTCACATATTTTTCCGAAAATTTTGAAAAAAAAAATCATTCATAGCTCAAAAATTGGAGGCGCTGGACTTTTTTTTAGCATTTTAAGCATTTTCGGGCAAACGAACATTTAAAAAAAAATTGTTTTTGCACTAATTATTCGTTTTTAGATCTACATAATCGATCTTCAACGTATGAAAAGTCTCACTCCAATAACCCACGACATTTAAAACTCATAGTAGTCTCCCCTTAATAGTATATTTCGTAACGAGCGCAAAAAACATTTTTTCACGAGTTACGAACAATATTTTTCATCACAATGTGGCGGAAATTGGACTTTTAGGCACGCAGAGCGTGCCGAAAAGTTCACTTTTCGTCACAGCGTGATGAAAATGAAATTTAATGCGTGTCCTTACCACTGCCCAGGTACGTCGTCTGGTTCATGGTGATGTCCTGGAGTGGCGGCATGTGAGTACTGTAACAATAAGAAAATGAAAATTAATAATTAGTAATCAATAATCATTCATCTTTATCTATGATTTCAAATCAACACTATTAGAGAAGAAATGAAATTTCATGGACAGTAGACTAGTAATTTTGCGAAAAGAGACATTGAATGCGCATCAGAAATTGCAGATTTCACTGGAAAGTTAATGTATTCCGAAATTTCCGAGCAGCTGGCAGACGAGACTTTCTTACTTTACTTGATTTTTCAATGAAAATGGGAATTTTCAGGATCAAATTAAGTTGAGTTTTCAATTCAGTAGCGAAGTGGTAAAATATTCTGTCGTAACGACATGTTGCTAAGAATATAAAGAATTGAAGTCGTTTTCAAATTATGAGAATACGAAAACATTGAAATAAAAAATAATGACAATCTGTCCTCTAGTAAAGAAGAAAACTGATACAAACTGATCCCTCATTCAATGCAATGCACCATTACTCCCTTCTCATCAGACCCATTGACATTGAAGTCAAAGAAAAAGAAAGCTCTTGGTAATTATCTCAAAGGTCATTGCATCAATTTCGTAAATGGGGCAACGACCTCCCCACGAAAAAAACTTGAACGCCCGAAGAGAGATCTATTCCGGGAACAGTGCTGACAGGATTCACTGAAGAGTTCCCCGTTTTTTCGTGCCTTTGATGGCAATCGATTCTTGAAGAGCCACAGAAGCACTCACTGTTTATTTTCCCATCATTCGTAGATAATCAAGGCACTCCCACCACATGCATTAACCGCAATCCAAATATTTCCAAATATTTTTTTATATAAATCAATTATTGAAACTAATTGTTTCAGACTTCAAAAAGCTTCAGACGTGAGACGTTTCAAGAATTTGTCGTTTCGTCGATTCGATAATAGAAATTATTTAAAAAATTTGCAGATTTTCTTTTATTGTGAAAAAGAAACACTTTGCAACGGTTCATTCAGAATTTAGACATAATTTGACATAAATAATTCTTGCATCCAATAAATCTCTTGCCATTTTTTTCGTTCGCGATTCACGCAGAGACGTATTTTCCCATCATTCGTAGATAATCAACGCACTCCCACCACATGCATTAATCACAATCCAGATATTTCCTACAATTTTTTTATATAAATCAATGATTGAAACTAATTGTTTCAGACTTCAAAAAGCTCAAGACGTGAGACGTTTCGAGAATTTGTCGTTTCGTCGATTCGATAATAGAAATTATCAAAAAATTTTGCAGATTTTTTTTTATTGTGAAAAAGAAACACTTTGCAACACCAAAACACTTAAAATGCCAAATTAAAAATCGCATCTTCGGTTTTTTTCGGCAGATTGTGCAACACTTTGTTCACTTAGAATTTAGATATAATTTGACATAAATATTTCTTGCATGCAATAAATCTCTTGCCATTTTTTCCGTTCGCGATTCACGCAAGGACGTATTTTCCCATCATTCGTAGATAATCAACGCACTCCCCCCACATGCATTAACCGCAATCCAGATATTTCCTACAATTTTTTTATATAAATCAATTATTGAAACTAATTGTTTCAGACTTCAAAAAGCTCAAGACGTGAGACGTTTCAAGAATTTGTCGTTTCGTCGATTCGATAATAGAAATTATTAAAAAAATTTGCAGATTTTTTTTATTGTGAAAAAGAAACACTTTGCAACGGTTCATTCAGAATTTAGACATAATTTGACATAAATAATTCTTGCATGCAATAAATCTCTTGCCATTTTTTCCGTTCGCGATTCATGCAGAGACGACTGAATAGATTTCAATGGCATTTTCACGACTCATTAGTCTAGGCTCCGCGTTAGGACATAGGCTATAAATTATTGCGCTAAGTTGCGCACAAACGAATGTACCCCTGAAACTTCTGGAATATTATGGAACTTTTTGGAGAATAAAGCATTCTCGAGTTTCCAAGAATATCCTCGAGTTGTCGAGAAATGGGGTTTTGTAGAATGTTTAGAGAGAACAAAATGTTTAATTGTCAGGAACATATCATTTATTTTCGGGGACAAGTCACTGATTTTTAGAAATCTATCACCAGTTATTGATGATATTGGACACTGAGTAGAATAACCTTGATCATTAGTGATTTCTGTCACAAATTTGGTGATAGATTCCTGAATATTAGATATGAGTAGTTGGACATTGGTGATGTTTCCCTTAACTAGTGACAATCTGACTGGAAATTAATGATAATGTCATTAACCCTAGTTTGGTCACCATATGAGAACTTGCGACTTCGGTCACCTCCGCAGGGAATCGCCGCCGTGTTATTTAGGCCCGAGCGTTGCCGAATTCACTCTATACTGCCCGGGCGCGTTTAGCGAGACTTCGGCAACGTCGCAGAACGGGCAATTTCATTCAACATGGGAAAAAATTGCCAGTCTGTTGGAAATAATTTTTTTTCTTCAGGAATTGTGGATATAAATAATTTTAAAAAATTAGTTATTTTCATCACAAGGTCCACAAAGTATTTTCTGACGAATGTGGCTTTGTAGGCCGAGCCGAAGGCGAGGTTTCGCTCGCGAAGCGAGGTTAGAATCGCGGTTTACTGGGCCCTCTCACGAAAATTATAATTTTCTAGACACTTGAATTGACGCATTCCAATTTTTTAGGATTTTTCCGCTCAGCCAGTCAATAGTAAGAAAAAAAAATCGACCTTCTGCGGCGTTTCCCTCCTATGGTGACCAAACTAGGGTTAAAAATAATTTCGAACTCAATAAAAACTTCTATTGGATTTCTATTGAATTTCCATTGAAAATTCAATTAGTTTGCGGCCAATTTTTTTAAGAATTCCGCATTACTGCGCATTTTTTTCCAGAAAATGTCTAATAGAAACAATTTCCTAGAAAAATTCCGTAGAATTCCGTAAAAAACCCTCGACATTGAATTTACAAAATTTTTTTTTACTCCAATCTATTCCTCTTTCCATTAAGAGATTAGAAGAATAAAAAAAAAATTGAGAACCGAGAAATTTCTACAGAAAATAACCCACTATATGAAATTGTATAGAAAAACAAAACTCTATCGATTTTTTCAACAGAATATATTCCATTGAAGGTTTCTATTGGAAAAAACGTTCATATAATTCTAATAAGATTCAGAATTTTTCAATGTAATTCGCCAAGAAATAATAGAAAGTTCAATAGAAATCTCATAGAATTTTCCCATTTTTTCAACGAAATTTTATCGTACGTTTTCTAAGAAAAACAAAATGAAAATCCTGGACTTTTCTAGGAGGTTGGCAAATATTCGGCGTTTTTCCAAAAGAATTTCGGAAATTTTTAGAATTTTCAGAAAATTTGACAAAAATTACGAAATCTTCAACAAATTGACGATTTTGTCAAGAAAATTTAAAGGCAAAATAAGATGTAAGGGAAATAGTCCATGAGTTAATAATCCCCTGTACGAGAAGGAGATTTCTTCATGAATCACTCACGTATCATGTGAAAAACCTATGCAACTACGTGCAACGCCAAAAAAAAATTCAGTCAACATTTTCAGCAAAAAATATTGAATATATCTTGAAAAATTTGAGAAATTACCCTGAAAAAAATTCCTGGTCGGAAAAGCAAAATTCTCAATTCTTTAATAATAATTGATTAATAACAAAAAAACTCACGGGAATTTGACTCGGACATCTCGATAGTCGGATCAACGGGGCAAAAAACATAGAACAAAACATAAAATTCGTTGAAAAAAAATTCTCAACCTAAAATGTATGCAAACTCCTCCCAGACTACAGACTAAAAGGGATCCTCTGGGCAACGCCGAAAAAGAAAGAAAAAAAAGAGAAAAAATAGGAAAAAAAAGAGGAAATACTCCTATTGTAATTGTTATGGAGCCATTGCTGAAGTGTCACATAAGTCATTATTTGTCAAGCCGGGTATGCCCCAACGCAGGATGGGACAGTAAATCAACAGTCAGTGCAATAAGGAAACGCAGATTTTCCAGTAAGGTCTAATATAGATCTCGCCGAAATCCACCGAGTTACCATGAATTCTCCCTGGTTAAATGTGAAATGAATAATTTGTGGGGACTGCTGATTTCACAGAGCACAGATGCGTTAATCGTTTCGTTTCAGCTAATTTCCACTGGGTTTATTTGCATTTTAGGCGTTGCCATGCGTGACAGATTGACTTTTTTTTACGTTTGATAGCTGACAAGTTCGTTCAGGTATTGACGTAAGGAGCAAAATAGTTTCGAATCATAAATTTCTTTACTTCGATTGTTTCATAGATCTTATGTCAATATTTAGGGGGAAAAAGGGGGCAGAGTTAATGAGTTTGCAAAACTTCATCGGGGATTGGATATCATGTTGCTTAAGTTTCTGGGATATATAAAGGGACAGGATCAGTTGTATGGACATTACATTCTTCACCTTCCGAGTGAGTTAGACGACGTCAAGATGTACCTCAAGGTAATAAATATTTTTCCATTCTGAGTTTGGCAATTGTTGGCAAATATTTTGGACTAGCAATTTAATAACATGCAAATGTCTCCGACAGGAAGAGGTTTAGAGTAATTTGTCATAAAGAGTTTTTTATAGAGAATTTTATGGGCTACAGAAAAGGTCATTAAACATTTTCCTCTAAACCCATTAGTTTTCAAGATATTTGGAAGATAATGACTATAGATTTTTGGCTCTCTAATCATTCTGCAATTCTTTTCGAATGGGGAACAAAAGAGACATTCGTCAGATATTTTTTTTAGAAAATTTAACGATTTAAACAAAATCTCTTAACATTTTTCTAAAAAACCACTAGTTTAGAAAATAGCTGCACAATAATCCCGTTATACCATTTTCATTTCCGAATTTTTGTGCAATTTTATTTGATATTAATTCAACCTGTACTATTTTGCTTCATTAATATCTTCAACAGCTCAGGATGATAGTAGATTCAACTGAGGATGTATCCAACAATTCGAAAAATGGTATACCTTTCACTCCCCCAAAAATAATGAAACGTTTCACCGACGAATGGTGCGGAATTTTGTGATTTACACTTTGAGTTTGGAAATTGTTGGATAATATTTTGGAATAGCAGTTTAACCACATCCGAATATCTCTGAAAGGAAGAGGTTTAGAGTAATTTGTCACAAAAAGTTTTTCGTAGGGAATTTTATCAGCTACAGAAAAGGTCCTCAGACGTTCCCCCCTAAATCCATTAGTTTTCAAGATATTTGTAAGATGATAATTATGGATTTTCGGTTCTCCAATCGTTCTGCAATTCTTTTCAAACCGGAAATATCAAAAGACATTGGTCAAATAATTTTTGTAGAAAATTTCATGATCTAAACGAAATGTGTTGACATTTTTCTAAAAATCCAAGGATGTGGAAAATAACTCCATAATAATCTATTCATTGAAATTTACAAATTTTGGTATAATTTCATTTCATGTTACTTCAATCTCTTCTATTTTTGTCTTTCATGTTCTCAACACTTACGAATGCGATTGATTTAACTCAGGATTTATTCAATCATCCGATAAACGCTGTCCTTGGCACTCCCACAAAAATAATGAGGAGTTTCACCGAAGAATGATGCATCATAATTTTGTTCTTTACAGACAATACCAATTTTAGTATTATTGATACTAATTCAGGAAGGTACATGTGGTGGTCATAAGGGGTATTCTTTCCAACATCATCATGGTCCGGTGACGGGACACCACCAGAAGGTGACTTGGACGGACAAACACGGGCATCATGATCATGATTACGTCGCCGAGCCGCACTACAAATACGCTTACGGAGTGGAGGACCATCACACTCATGACATGCATGGCCAGAAGGAGCACGGAGATGGTAAGTGAAATGAACCGAAGAAAATGTGAAACCGAGCTGACATGCAAGTTTCGTAAATTATGCAAATGTCTCGGAAGTATGTGATTCTAGAGGGAAATGAGATCTTCGTGCACTGTTTTTTTAGTACCAAATTTTCCTCATCAAAAGTCGATTTGGATTTTTACAATATAGAGCGATATTGAGACCCTTATTTTGACCCCCATGACCCTGAATCTGGCCTTTGTGATCTTTAGTTTCTGACTCTTGGTTTTTGACCCCTATGTCCTTTACTCTGACCCTTGTGACCCTTAATCTGATCCTTGTGCCACTTATTTAGACCCTTAAGACCCATCATCTTGTGACCCTTAATATACCCACATAACCCTTATTCTGAACCTCGTGACCTTTAATCTGACCCTTGGGTCCTTATTTTGACCCGTATGACCCTTATTTTAACCCTTGTGATCTTAGTTTCTGACCCCCATGACCCTTAATCTGACCTTTGTGATCCTTAGTTTCTGACTCTTGGTTTTTGACCCCTATGTCCTTTACTCTGACCCTTGTGACCCTTAATCTGATCCTTGTGCCACTTATTTAGACCCTTAAGACCCATCATCTTGTGACCCTTAATATACCCACATAACCCTCATTCTGAACCTCGTGACCTTTAATCTGACCCTTGGGTCCTTATTTTGACCCGTATGACCCTTATTTTGACCCTTGTGATCTTAGTTTCTGACCCCCATGACCCTTAATCTGACCTTTGCGATCCTTAGTTTCTGACTCTTGGTTTTTGACTCCCATGTCCCTTACTCTGACCCTTGTGACCCTTAATCTGATCCTTGTGACACTTATTTAGACCCTTAAGACCCATCATCTGGTGACCCTTAATATAACCCACATAACCCTCATTCTGAACATTGTGACCTTTAATCTGACCCTTGAGCCTTTATTTTGGTATGACCCTTATTTTGATCCTCGTGGGCCTCAATTTTGGAGTCTTAATTTCAAGTACCAAATTTTTATCACCAGAAGTTGATTTGGATTTCTATAATATAGAGAGATTTATTAAGGATGTTAATCCAAAACCACAAGTATTCAAAAAAAAAATTGATTTTGGTTTCAACTGAGAGATGAAGTTATTCCCTTTACCTTGATAAAAATTTCAATCCACCAATCCACGTTTATTATTTAGAAATGAAGTGGACAAAATGTACCAAACGCATGCGCTAATATGGGATAGAATCTTTCAAATATTTCCTATTTTTGCCCGGGTACTCCAAATTTTTCTCTGGCCACTCAATTCAGTATAGTTTTGCACATTACCTTCTATTTTTATTTCTATTTTTAGAGTCTTCCAGTAGGTGAATTATAAATTTCAACATAAATTCCTTAAGAGCCCGTGTATAAAGAAACATTTGGTTATTTATTTCTAGCGAGACGATTGCAATTGATTTTGTTTTAACATCAAAGAAGTAAGTTTCATATGTTCTGCTATCAGCCAAAAAAATTATAGAATTTTCCTTGAAACGAAAAAATAAGATTTCCTGAAAATGGCTAAACATCCTCAAAAAGTCATCTTGAAATTAGGTTGACCCTTCTTGTTCAATCCTATTGGAATGACGCAATTAACGAATACGTTTTTATAATGTTTCCTAATAGGACACGGCGTCGTCGGAGAATACTCAGTCCACGAGCCCGGTGGCAACGTAAGAACAGTCAAATACTTCTCAGACGACAATGGATTCCATGCTGAAGTCCACAACAGCAACGGCTGGATCCACCACTACTGAGTCACCCATAATTCAACAAAGCCGAAAACTCCTTCATTGAATTATCTGTCACTCCCGTTTTATCTCTGATTGAACTGAATAATAACCACTGATTCAACCAAACATGATGTAGTATTCTGTCATCCGGAAGTTTAGTATCTTATCGGAGGCAGCCGAATGCATTTATCTATCCGTTGAAGTTTACTTTACGTATTTGTCGAGGGTGATATAGAACCATCAGGAATAGATTATGAACAATGGACGGATTAACGGCCCATGTACATTGCACCGCATGGTGTTTATATTTCTGGAAATGGGGTGGGTTGAACGAAAATGTTTACGGAATTTTGGTAATTCTCGTAATTTCCAAACAGCTTGAGAACTAGGCAGAGATGTAAGATTCAGCTAGACAAGAGTTCAAAAATTGTTCTATAGTTGTTGAAAATGGGAATGCGTCTGTCAGTTTAGACTAAACGTTGTCAGCGCTGGAAAAGGGTTTCTAAATTTGAATGACTTTCAAAGAAAGAAAACCGGAAATTCAGTTGCGACGAAAAGCACGAAGCGCTAGGAAAAAGAATAGATTTCAATCTGTACCACTTGTCTTTTTCAATTTCTTCGAGACTTGCAGATAAGATGCATTCAATTCAGGATGTGTCTAATAATTCGTTGAATGTTATTCTTGACGTATAACGAAGAGTTTCAGCGAAGAGTTAAAAGTTTTATCAGTGCAGACGAAACGTTTCCTAGTGCCTGAAAAGATTCTAAATTTGGACGACATCAGGATAAAATCTCCGAGTCGATTCCCCAAAGTGTTTTCCTCATTCCTAATAATTTGTTTTTCATATAGTTTTGTCTGGACAACCACCTTGAAGAAATGTACTACCTCGTGTCAAGAACGTATACCCCTTCCTCTGCATTCTCGTTTGGGGTAAAAAATCTTACAGACTCGTTGGAAATGTGAACCCTCCTATCAGTGCAGACTAAACGTTTCCTAGCGCCCGAAAAGACTCTCTAAATTTGGACGACTTCCTAACGAAAAAAGCCGGAAATTCAGTTGCGACGAAAAGCCCGAAGCCCCAGAAAAAAGAATAGATTTCTCTCTTCTTTATCTCTCCGGCAAAGTGCAACGAAAATAACATCCCACTGGGAGGTACAACTGAAGCTCTTTGATCCTCTCTCCCGAGGTAACCAAATGTCACTAATATGTCATTAATCCTCCAAACATCGTCGCTCGTGCAAGTATAGTTTACAGCTTACTTACTAAGTAATAACGAGTTTATTTTCCTACAACTCGCATGAGTTTTGAGATCACCATCTGTTCCCATCGCGATCATTTTGTGCACCTTGCGCAGCTTAATCGCAGAGTTAAGCGTAAATCTAGATCCAGACTTCTGGGAATCTTTGCTTGCTAACTAAGGAGGGAACCCTGAAAAAATGGCGGACGATGATCGCACGGAAATAGATTGGAAGACTAACAGAGATGTTGTGGAGCTGCTCTGAATGATGCTCCGATGGATTCGCAATTGATTGAAAGTAATCGATTGAACAAGTTTTTTTCCGGTCCCTCATATTCAATTTTTCCAATGTTTTAACGGCGTTTGAACTGTTTCCAATGCCACGTTACGATGATTAATGATTTTCATGAAGATTGTAGGGCAAAATTTATCGTTAAACTGTCAAAAAATGAAACTACACTGTTATAAATAAAAATTCCATACACAGTTTACCAGTAATTTTCAAAAGAGTGACATTAAATTCGCTTTAAGGAGGAACAAATCATGAAATTTCAGCGAGATGTGAATTCCTCAAGATACATGAATCTCCAATTAAAACCCTTAGATTTAGTACCAAATTACGTTGAATTTTCCTAATTTCTATAAATTTATATCGAATAATAAATCTAAAATTTACAGTTTCCATTGATTCTTTCATCAAATTAGGAATTTTCAATTATAGAATTCCATGAAATCTCAGTGGTACTCATGTCATTAAAATCGTCAAGAAGTATAAATTTGAGCCGAACATTTTTGACAATATACACAGGATTGAGAAAAAGACAGTGACGAAAAAAAAAAAATTTCTAAATAATGTAGAAGGTAAATCGATTGGATTTTTCTCGTAGAGTAAACCCAATGTTATTTCACCGTTTTTCAATGAAAATGGGATGATATTTCCAATGTTATACCATAGGAGACATCATTCCATTCACCTTGAATTTTGAATGAATAAACATCTTGGTCTCTGTTTACTGGAATGAGCAAAATTAATTAATTTATATTAATTAATTAATTAATTAATTAATTAATTAATATTAATTAATTAATTAATATTTCTTAGTATAACAATAGCGTGTGTGCAGACTGTGTGCAGCAAAATCAAACTAATGAAATTGTAAATTCACCAAAATCGACCGAATCCGATAAAGAAACGAAAAGTGAAGCTTTCATAATGCTTCTCAATCCATCAAACATGACGGATTTTTTTGTATTCAACCTCCTATCGGTTCCACGGTGAGGCCATGATGGACAGGATGCGATATGAGGGCACGTCGTGCCGAGACTCCTCTCAAATGGTACTCTGGCGAGTTTAATTTATGTGGGTGGCACAGCACGATTAGAGTTCATGGAACTCGGTCTTGAAATCAATTACTTTTTCGGAGGCGAGAAAAACATGCGATGTTCTGCAGGAAATCATTCCTTTATAAGACGTTTTTTGTTGGGTTGTCGGAGGAAGTACATAGCAAGAACAGTTAATAGTTAACGAATCCTAGTAGTAATTGAGAAGCTTCGTTAACAGCAACGAAATCGTTCCACTTTTTCTATCAGTATACAAATCATTACCAAACGCGACAAAATTTTATGACTGCACGGAGAGAAAAATCGACATAATACAAAAAAGAAATTGGAAAAAAAAACTTTTAGAAATTATAAGTTTTGTCATATTATTATGTGACAAAACTTATAATTTCTTGAGTGGTGAATATCGCATGCATATTCGATCAATTCATGGTAGGTTTCAGACAAGAAATCGGGGCTCTTTTCGCAAAAGGAGGATCCCGAGTCGAGGATTTGGTTCTGATTGGACGTACACAGGTCTTTCAAGATCTCTCCAGACCTAGATGGACCTGGTAAGTCCTAATCAGTTCTGCGACGTACTTTTCCAGAGACCTTTCGAATCCTCAGTTCTTTTCGGTCCTGAGAAGTCCTCCTCGATGCTACGGAGAACCCGTGATTTTACGAGCGGGTGAAGGGGAAGGCATGTATGCGGAGGGTTGAAATTTGTAGCCAACCAGGAGACAGGGTTGCAGAATATATTTTAGCCACCCTCCCTCATCTCCCCGTTTGCAGGCGGTGTTTAAATACAAAACGTGAACGTTGATTCTGTATTTAGCCCCCTGATGCCAATGAAACCCTCGGAGGTGACAGAACTCGGAGGTGACAGAAAAGGGGAAAAAAAAATTTTCATTTTCACGTGGGTCAAGGGTGAAAGTCAATTTTCGCCAAAATTGAATTTTTTCGCCAAGTGAAAGTTGATTCTGTATTTTCTAACAATTCTGATGCCAATGAAACCCCCGAAGGCGCGACGAAAGTCGAAATAAATTTTTTTTTTCACCCCGAGCCAAAGAGTCAGATTTTCTGTTTTTTCAGAGGGAAAGTCGACTTTCGCCAAAATCGAATTTTTTAGTCAGGCGAGTGTTGATTCCAACTATTTAAGCGACGGGCTATTCAGAACTCTGAAAAGTATGTGGGAAAAGTGAAAACTAAAAAAAATTGTTTTTCACCCAGACCCAAAGGGTTAGATTTTCGGTTTTGCCAGGGGGAAAGTCGACTTTCGCCAAAATTGAATTTTTTAGCCGGGTGAGTGTTGATTCCAACTATTTGAGCGACCGGGTATTCAGAACTCTCAAAAGTATGTGGAAAAAGTGAAAACTGAAAATTTTTTTTTTTTTCAAATTTTCAAAGGGTCAGATTTTCCGTTTTTCCCGGGGGAAAGTCGACTTTCGCCAAAATCGAATTTTTTAGCCGGGTGAACGTTGATTCCAACTATTTAAGCGCCGGGCTCATCAGAACTGTCAAAAGTATGTGGAAAAAGTGAAAACTGAGAAACCGTTTTTTTTGGCCCCAGCCAAAGGGTCAGATTTTCGGGTTTTCCGGGGCAAGTGGATTTTC